GCCCCCCCCAAGATTCCGCGGCACACTTGGACGTGGCCGACGGCACACCGGTTGGGAACCGCTGGGATAGAGTTTGCAAGGAGCACTTGTTCCTGTTTTGGAGTAGTGGCTGTAGCACTAGTTAATGTTCTATCTTGCTCCTTCTCTCCTTTAATCGCCTGATGTAGCCTCTCCTGCACCCTTGCCATCCTTGACCCATGGTTACTCTTTGTACAGTCAGTTTAAGGCAGGGGTGGGCAATTACTTTGGGCTGAGAGCCAGCTACTGAGTTTTGGCAAGCTGTTGAGGGCTGCATGGGTAGCCCCGCCCCTTGACAGGGGCCCCACCCCCTCATTGCCATCTTGTGTCTGGAAATCCTGCCCCCTAATCCCTGACCTTTGCCACCAGAAGTCCCTTCCCTTGCACCCGGACAGGGCTATCCCTGGGGGTGTGAATCGGGGCAACCGCCCTGGGCCCTGCGCTTTGAGGGGCTCTGCAGAGCTGGTAGAGAGGCCGTGGCTGAAGTTTGGCCCACCCTTCTGTCAGGCTAAGGAAGTTACACCAGCTGCTGAAACTTCCTTAGCCTGACGAAGGGTTTTTGAACCCGAAAGCTTGCTTAATAACTATTCTCCAACTATTTGGGTTAGTCTAATAAAAGATGTCAGATTCACCCAAGGAACCTTGTCTGCCTATGTCCTTAGACCAACACGGCTACAACCTACACCCCTGCTTACATGTACTGTTCACTTTTGGTTCAGTTAATCTCTTCTTTTGTCTTACTTGGTAGCTACTACCAACAGCTGGGATTGCCATGTAGCTGGGGCTTGTTTCATCAGAACTGAAGCTGCAGTCTGGCTATACTGACCTTTGACCTTTTTGCAGATGTTCATGAGGGCCCAGTTTGACTATGACCCCAAGAAGGACAACCTGATCCCCTGTAAGGAAGCAGGGCTGAAGTTCAAAACTGGGGACATCATCCAGATCATCAACAAAGACGACAGCAACTGGTGGCAGGGCCGAGTCGAAGGATCCTCCACAGAGTCAGCAGGCCTGATCCCCTCCCCTGAGTTACAGGAATGGTATGTTCCCCTGCTCACTATAAGTAGGTGGTGCTAGGCTGGGGAATCCCAACTCGGATCTGGATGAAGCTTAGTGTGCTGCATATTGGACATGGATGCAGCGCAGGGGGGTGGAGGCTTAGAACTTCCTGCCACCATGAGGAAAATGCATCAGAGCTGCTTATAAGGAGTTGTTTGGAGAGGGCATGACCAGGTGCTCAGTGTGGAAAACTGTTGGTACATGCCACAGGTAGGTAGATTGGCTGAGCTAACGGTGCCCTCTGACCTTTTCCAGGATGACCCGTTGGTCCAGATCATTGCTGCTTCTGCCCCCTGCAGTGAGGACACTCTGGCCTGGAGGCCTTCTCTGACCCAGTTTACAAGGCTTGGGACCCAGCAGGAACTCACCTTGGGAAGAATTCTTCTGTTTTCAGGGGCAGGGGTTGGACCAGAATTTGAGATGGGAGCATCTGACCAGGTCTTGCTTTTGCTTCCTTGCAGGCGTGTAGCCAGCGTCACCCAGTCTACTCAAAATGAGGCCCAGAGCTGCAGTCCCTTTGGCAAAAAGAAAAAGTGCAAAGACAAATATCTGGCCAAGCACAGCTCAAGTAAGAGCCCCTTCCTTGTCACAAGTTCCCAGTTCCTTTCTGCTCAGGATTGGTCTCTGCACCTCCACGCAGCAGGGTGGGAGACGTGATGGGACTTTTGGGTGCCCAGACCAAAGTGAGGCCCCGGTAAGGGTACTACAGTGGTTAAGCAGTACATGCCTGGGGCTTGGGCCATTACTTGCTCACATTGTTGTAAAGGTGCCCTCCAGCAGCGTCAGAGTGCAGCCACATGCACGCGCGTCCACCCCGCGAGGGGTGTTGTCATGGGGTCAATATACAGTGTTCCTGGCCCGGCTGGCTAGAAATCCTGTGTGGGGAGGAAGGGCACCAGGCTGTCACCTTTGGGGTGGGGGATCTTTTAGGAGCTGCTTTGGGTCCCCAGCACAAGCAAGGGATGAATGCAGGGGTCAGGCAGGGACTGCTAACTCGTACACAGAGGGATGTGCAGCACAACAGACTGACTCACGCACACACATACACTCCTGCTGACCATTGCCTGCCACTCCCCCTCCTACGGGGGAAGCTCCCTGCCTTAGGGATGAGTAGTCTGATTCTTCCCTATGCCATATGTCATCATCTCCACCTGTACAGTGAGAGGAAAGTGTTATCATGGCAACCTGGGGATGCTTTACACCCTCCCTGTATGTGACAGCACAAGGCAGAGGGGTCTGGGCTTAGCACCCGAAGCCAGGACCACTAGTGATAAACATTTTAAAAATCCCTGCCTTTGTTTTGGTGCCTGAACAGGAGCCTTGTGAAATGCTCCACTGACTTCGCAAGCTGAGCAGAGCCAGCCTCAGAGAAAAGGGAACCCTGGGCCAACTTCTGTTTTAGTGTGCTCGCTCTCTGCCAAGTCGGTGGCAGTGCTGCAGGTGGAGGCAGGCAGGCAGGGGCGCAAGGTGCAGTCCACTGGGAAAGAAGAGCAGCATGGTGCGCTGCTGCTACTCGCACTGCCTGGCCCAGCTCCTCCTGAGCAGAGGCTGGAGGCAGGGGGTAGCCTGGAGGTGGTGAGGAGGGGTGGGCTGACCCTTTATTTGGCTGGTCAAAGCTTTCCAGTTTGGCTCTTCTGAGAATTGTGTTTCCAATGAAAATTTGAGTCCTTCAACCACAGAGAAACATCCCTGTCTACCATCTTCATTCAGGCATGGTGCCAAGCTAGGCAAACACTGCTGCTTTTACCCTGCCTGTGCCAGTCACATTTAATTCACCAAGGCACAAATAATACTGACCCATAATAAACCAGTGCCAACCATGCCCCAGAGAACTGAGCGATGGTGGGTGCTGGTCATGCAGCCAGAGTGGAAAATATGCTGGCACCCTGCTTGGCCTTGTGGTCCAGGAGCCACTGATAAACAAGACCATAAATCAGAGAGGGATAAATAAAGGTCCTGGTGACACTCTCAGCTCAGAGTTCTTGCAGCTTCCAGTCTCACTCCTCTGGGGCCTCAAATCCCAAGTAGGTCTGTGGGGAGAGGAAAACATCAGTCCTGTACTTCACAACATGCTAGAAGAGTTTCTTCCATCATCATCTTCAGAAGGAACATTTCCTCTTTGCTGGCTTCCACCATGGGCTGGGGACATTGTTGTGCCCAGCAGTTCTCAGGAGGAATGCCCCTGCTATTATGTCTGCACTGGCTCTGAAGTGCTGTTTCTTTCCTCAGTTTTTGACCAGCTGGATGTGGTTTCATACGAGGAGGTGGTGCGGCTCCCTGCGTTCAAGAGGAAGACACTGGTGCTGATAGGTATAATGGCCCCTTCCAATTCTCAGTCAGGGTTGATCTCCATCATGACCCCCACAGTGTCCTGAGCAGTGTCCTAGAATTCTTTTGAATGCCATTGCATAGCACTCTTACCACAGAGCTGCTGCTGAATGAGAGTTAGGACCAGGCACCTCTTCAATCTTGGATCTGAGGCAGATTCCACTGAAGTCAGTGGAAGCCTTTGCTTGGTCTTCATTGAGCTCTGGATTGGACCCTGTGTCCTTCAGGCAACATAATCTTTGGGTTTCTGGCTGGAATAAAATGTATTCTGAGAGGACTGGGGACATCCGCTGGATTTGAAGTATGTTTGTAGTGATTTTCTTCAGAAAAAAATTACACCTTCTAAAATAATATTGGAAAGCAGAGCCTTTCCCATGAGCTC